TCAACCAAGTTAAGGAGCTATGGGTTGGCTGAGAGGAGACCAACAGGAGCTAAGTCGAGGCTGAATCGCTTACACTGAAGGTATAACCATTATGTTTTCGTGTTTTGATGGTGGTTGAGCAGTAGTGGGGTAGGGTTGGTGTCGAGCTGACCACGCAAGCTCAGTCAGGCCACCCATTCATGCAAGAACTGAGGAGGTTTCCTCAAAAATGGGAAAAGTCGACCCATTCGGGAAGCCAAAGGCTTCCTTGAGCATGGGAACCCGATCCACCATTTTAGGTTCTGATTTTCTGTTTAAGAAGCTGGAAAGTCTTCTTCGGGAAATGAAAATATGATTTTCAGTCTGGAAGCTGAAAAGTCTTTCTCAAAAAACAGAAATCTGATTCCGCGAACGAGGAGCCAAAAAGTTTTTTGGATATGGATTCTGATAATTTTGGGTATTCTGTTGGGTGATTGTTGGAATCCATAATTCGATTAAATTAATTTTTAGTATTTTAATTAATTTATGTTGTGTGTACAAGAAAATTTGGATATTCAGGCGGATCTAAAAAGACGCGTAGGAGAGTAAGTATTTCTAAATCTCAACCGGGTTCGAATTTTAAAAAGTGCATTCATTTCATTAAATTTTAAATTTTAAAATTTGAACAAACATTGACCAAATTTTTGATGAAAAACAAAATCCAAATTATGATTAGTAAACCTAAATAATTAGAATTCTATGAGGAGATGAACCATAATACAGACCCAATGGATTGAGAGTTATTTGAACTGATGAAATTTGAAATTGAAAAAAAAAATTCCCTAATTAAGGAAAAACTGAAAAAGAAAAAGAAATAAAATAAAAATGTAAAAATAGAAAAGAAAAAAATAATTGAGATTTAAAAATGATCATTTAAACAAATTAAGAATTTTAGAATGAGAGGGTAGGAGTGAATAGGGTAGAGACCCCGAATATCTTTTCGTTTAGTCTGACTCGAGGATGGGAGTGTGTGTGTGTGTGATTGAAGTTCAGTAGGCATAGTGAAGCTACACGTGGATATAGTCTGAAACATAATCCAAATATAGATAGGCATTCGTCTGAGTGCGAGTCACCTAATAAACGTACCTGTTGTGGTCATTGTATGATTTGTGTGTATGCTATCCATGCGATGGGGGGATCTATTTCGCCTTTCCTAGATTATGACATAAACAACATCACGTGATGAAACCATAGAAATGATCGTTCGAGTATATTTGTGATCTTTTGTATGCGTGTGATTATGTTTCGAGATTATAAATTATATTCGAGTGTATTTGTGATCGTTTGTGTGTATGTGATTACATTTCGAGATGATGAATACATTTAAGGTTTGTATGTGATATTCAAGAGAATTCATCAAATCGATCTGGAATATATGAAATAGTGAAAATAAGAGCATGAATTTTGTACTATAATTTTTTTATTGCTTTTGTTTCTTACTGTATATTTTGTATGAAATTTTATCTGGATTGAGAGAACAGGAATATTTATTGAGTTGGTAAAATTCATTAAATTTTACCCTAATATTTTTCAGAAGAGAATGAAGAACCAGCACCGCTGCTAGACGAGTAGAACCTGTAAAAAAGTTATTGTTTTTGTATATTTTGTACGTATTTAAAAAGTTTTATTTTTTTTATTAGACTCTAAATTCTGATATCATGTTTTGTATATATAGTTACTGTACATATCACATAGAATGCTAGATTGTATTATATTTTTTATCTGCACATGTATATATTTTATGGGCTTAATGCACGAAAATGGCATGAACAGGAATTGCGCCTCATATTGAGTATCGGGGCGTGACAACTACGTTACTGACAGATTTTGAAGCTATGTTGCGCATGGCGCTGACATTCAGAAAACAGGTAAGTTTTGTCCCTTTCAATTTTCTGAGATTCCTTTTTCATGTTTCACTTTAACAGGTATGTAGGTGTGAAACCAAATTGCCCAATCGTCACGGCAAGTGAGGAGTTCTCTTAGGGAACCAAGGAAACCATTCTTCAGAAGCTAGGAATTGAACCCGAGGCTGTTTTGGGTTTTTGGGGCACCAAACCCGAACCAGGTGAGTTCTTTTTCCTCTTTCGGCGTGGGTTCTTGATGGAAATGGTATTAACATGTGTGTGTACAGGTTTCAGGAGCTAGAGTGCTCATATTGCCGCGGTGAGTGTGAGGGTCTTCTCGAAAAAATTAAAAAAATCATCTCTGGGGGTGAAAATCTAAAAACTTGAGACTGTTCGGCCTTCACAGCACTCAAACCGAATAAGGTGACTTTTCTTTTCCTTTTTCATTATGGAGTTTTGGTGAATACAGATGCTAATACGTATGTATGTATATACATATAGATTTTGGAAAATAACTCATCCACACCTACGCAGGGAGCAGAAGTGGTAGTTCGCCGAATACGGAAAAACAAGCTTGTTGTTGGTAATTACCTAAAATAGTCATTGTTAGCAGTTTTCCTTTAGGTTTAATTCATTTCTGTCAATTAAATTTGATTATGTTTATGTATGGTGATTCTAGGTCGTTGATAAAGTGGAATACAATCTGTTTGAGGAACTTTGGTAAGTATTTCCTCATTCCAAACTTGG